ACGATTTTTTTTCCAGGCATTTTTCTTTGCACGAATTTTTTTTTGAATTTTTACCCCCCCCCCCTCTCCCGAGATTTCTAATGGTCTGCCCCTAGGGTAAGGTATATTCGTTACGACGTTTACGTCACGAACGTGATATTGCATTGACTGCCGTTTGAAGCATTTATTTATTTAAAGCAACAACTGCTAATGCCACAATAACGGCTAAGCTATATGTATGCTAGACATGCTGCAAGTCTGTCTCTCAAAGACGTTCAGTTTTTATTTGGGAAAAGGTTTCTATTTGGAAGTTATAAAGAGAAAAGAGGTTTTTATTTGGGATTGATAGAGAGAAAAGAGGTTTTATTTGGAAGTTGTAAAGAGAAAAGAGGTTTTTATGAGGGATCGATACAGAGAATTAAAGAGGTTTTCATTTGGGATTGATAAAGAGAAGAGATTTTTATTTGGGATTGATAAAGAGGCAGACTTGGAGCAGGTCTACACTCTACAGGTCGTTGCTAAAGTTGATGAAACAAGAGAGATTTTCCAGATGGCTGTCAAAGTCGTTAAAACATGAAACAATCAACAACCACTGGCATTTGAAACAATCCTAGCACTTACCTCCCAGAGAGTAGATAATTAAGTGCCATTCCTCGTGCGTCGCACTGACCTTCAACCTAAAAAAAATCATTTCATTACATTTACATAATCAAGTCTACTGTAGCCAGCGAGGGTGACCGCAACGCCTGCTACACAGGCTAAATCAAGCCCATTTGCACGAGTAATGGACTTATATTGTATAATAAAACATGGTTTATCAAGATATGTTTTGGAAACTAAACAGAAGTCATTGTGTTTTTGTCTGAGTTAATTTAATTACTGTTTTTTTGTACACAGTCACAGTGATTGAACCACGATGAATAATATCTAATCAAGTTGAGACAAAGGATTTGTGTACGGCGAGGTACAATTCAACACTATACATAAGGTCTTCTATTTTGTAGCTTTGAAGTTTGCCAAGCTTCCAGACCATCATGTTGACAGACTATAAATAAGAGTATATGTTGTATATATAGGGCACTCACAATCAGTTTCCCACTACTACATCCCATGATTAAAGCAACAGCTTGACAATACAATCTCGTTATTTCGTCTCCTTTAAGAAATTCACGGCCATTTCCGTGCCCCATATATCTGTTGGAAAATGAAATCGTGAAATTAAAGTCAAGTAATGGACATAAAAACATTTTAAATGCTTGAAAGAAGCGAAATTGCTCTATTTCGCGACTCCTTTCAGCCCGGGCAGAGATTTCCTCCTGGTTCCAGCTGAAATGTCAACTCAGAGCGTGAGACAATTTAACCGCGTTGCAAGAACAACTCAACCGCGTTGGGAATTCAGCCTAGGCTTAGCCTGCATGGCAGGCGGTCAGGCTTGCCCGATTTTAGGGACCGCCTGCCATGCAAGCTAGCCTAGGCTGAGAACTCTCCATGTAATCAGCCCCTAATTAGGTCTATTATTGCTGGCCGCGCTTCTTGCATATTAGAAACCTTACGATTTAGGACGGCAACGCGACGGCAACGGCTAATACAATAAATCATTGAAAAATTGAATGATTAGAATATATGAATAATTTAGACATTGTCCTCGCTCTGTTTACAACACCAAATCACAGATTTTCACGTCTTGATACAACGGCTGCATTTCAAGCCGCAATAAGTGCAACTTCAAACTGAGTTCAGCAGAACTCTTCCCAACCATAAAACCCATGTCTTCAACTTCTAAAACTGTATTAAATTAATACGATTGATAATATTATCTTTACTACCATTTATTTGAAGGAATTTGTTTTGGCCGTCGTCGTCCTAAAATCGTACGGTCTCTATTTTGGACGCAAATGCCGTAACAAAATCCTGCTATGTTTCGACGGTAAAATAATATAATTGTGTGGTTTTGTGAAAATACCATTTATTTTAATTTGGCAAAGCCTTCACCCGGATCTTCATTGCACTGATGACTTTCGACGGCGTGATACTTACATAAAGAGCTGATGATTTGCAAGGGCTTCTTTGAACTCTTCAGCAGAAGGTGCTCGTCCAACCACGCCTTTCCATCCTTTCTCACTGAAACGTACACATTGACCTTAAATTAGATGACTAGTAATACCAAAGTTAAGTGATGTCATTTTAAATATCAAGAAATTGATACTGAAAGATCAAGTCTCTTATTATATCTCATCCAGCTGAGAGCTAAGCTGTATATTACAAGGATTGCAGCTCAACCTGATCAAGTCGAAGTCTTGCAAGGGGCGTCTCTGGAATGGCTCCCATGACTCACGTCTGATCACAGAGCACAGCTAAGGTAGAAGGGTTAATTTGGAATTATCCCAATCCATCTTGTCAATAGTCCCGGTGGGAGGAAACCGGAGTACGTTCGGTCACAGAATAGATACTGGACCAGAAGTGTCACTCCTATTTGTTTTGGCTGAAGGAAAACGTCCGAAATTTTTTGCTTGCTATGACGCCATCCTGGAGTGCACCCGGCACTTTGTACCTATGTTTTCCTATGAAAAACTTCCGTGTGCACTCCAGGATGGCGTCATATGATGGCGTATTTTCACGTCAGCACTCGTAAAATTTCGGACAAAATATCGTCTGAGTGACACTTCTGGTCCTGTATCTATTCTGTGGTTCGGTAAAGTGTTGACTGTCTTTTTTTACATAAGTGTCACTTACTCTGACGACTGCGCCACCGAAGCCCCATGGGTAATATGGCTAACAGGGTTTTATAAATTACGGATAACTAAGATGACGTCACTTACGATAAGAACCAATCAGAAAATTTCTTCTCGGTATTTGGAAGATTATCTTGTGGATTCAGGACATAAAAGGTCTGTCTGGTGTCCACGCGTGACTTCTGTAATGAGATGCAAGAATAATTAACAATGAACCTCAATGTTTGAGTTCATTGAAACCAGGTATAAGATCAAACATGTTTTCGCTCCCTACCCTTGGTATTCCATTATATTACATACCCTTCCCAATGTTTCGACACTCCAGGATAGGACTCTCCACCGGATAGTTCTACCGAATAGTGATTTTTCCATGCTTTCTAAAACTTGCTGTTGATTTGTATAACCTATGCTATATATTAAACTTTAGTATTTATAAATTAAAGTTTCTTTTTATTATAATTGCGTGGTCCACATCGGTAGTTTTAAGCTCCTCAAGCATTTTTACAAAGGTTGAAAAAATCACTATCCGGTGGATAACGCTATGAGGTCTTCGCACAACGGGTACCGGTCTAATAACCTACTACAGATTACTATAGTCTTCATATGACGAAACCTACCGTTATTTTTTGTAAACTCAGATAAGCATTGATAAATTCAAGTGAAGGCATTCTTGAAACTTGTTGATCACGAAGGATTGGCATGGCCTCGAATGGAAGATGTTGTATACTCTAAAACAAGAATTTCACTAATTATTTTTCACCTATTTGGTCTAGTTTTACCTCATTGCTATACCATGTTTAGAAAAAGGCCTTATTAATTAAAAACCTTGATAACAAGTTGTTTTTCATGTTGAAAATAAATTTTGGTTCGAGGTAGAAGTGATCCCCAATGGCAATGGTCAACTTCAGGCCCATAGAGTCAAGTTATTTATTGTAAATATAATCAGTCGAATCTTAATAACTGTCCAAGGGGATTACAACACCTTGGTTCGGTCCATTTGCATTCAGTCTCCCCTAGCGGGTCTTAGATAGAAGAAGAATTTATTCGCACCAGTCAAAAATACATAATTACAAATTTTTTCCACACATTATTAAAACAGAGTTGGCACAGGATATCTGAAGTAGCTTTAACACTAATCGAAGTCAGATAACCTTATTAAAGTATTCGAGCCACTGTGGGTCAACATTGGGTTTAAGGTCATGGTGCACAATGATTATACAGATACAAATTCAAATTTATAGACATATGCAAAAACAAAAGCAAGCATAAAGCCAGTAATCATTAATTATAAATTTGACTTTAGTTAATTTGAAAGCAAATTAAAACAGAAATAAGAATAAAAAATAAACCCCCTCGAGATAAAAACATAATGCTTGATGAGTCTTTGGGTTGACCAGAGTTTAAGAGTATGTTTGAATTGGTTCACTTCACCCTGATCCCATTATAATTTAGTATGTTTCATTTTCTGAGCGTTTCTTCACATAAAACGGGCGGATCATTAAGTGAGAGTGTCTAGACCTCGTTTACACTTGGAGCAAAAGATTTCGGATACGTTAACCGTTTCACTACAACAGTTTGAACACTGCATGGTCTTCACATACAAGTGTTTACACTGGATGAGAAACAAACAAAACCTTGATATTTTTCTATGTTGGTGTAATGTACTCAGGCGAATATGTTGCTTGTGATGTTACTCTTAGTGTATATCCACACCGGGCAAGCTTGAAAAATATGCCTGGCCACGGTGGGAATCGAACCTACGACCTTTGGATACAGCCCAATGCTCTGCCAACTGAGCTACGCGGTCAGGTCGGTTCGAGTATGTGATATTTCGGAACCGGAAAGGTTTCAAATTCATGGAGGTTACCGTTTACACGGCGAATTGTCTCGGATTCAATTTTTACGGAAACAAAGTTTCTACTTTTTCCCGGATTCAAAGTTTCCCGATATGGCTCAAAAACAGAGATGATTTCTTATTGGATTCTTTGCTGTGGTGTGTACACGGCAACATGAATCCGGTACTAAAATATTTCTTCTTTTGCTCTAGTGCAAACGGGGGTAAGGGAGGGGGGTGGGGGTGTAAGGGTCATCTTTTAGTGAGGGAGGAAAACCATAGGATCCGGAGAAAATCCTTCGAAAAATTAAGCAGAGAGAACTAACCATTACGGAACTGTACTGCGTCACAGGGAAGTTACCCGATCTATAATCCTTATCTTCGATCGGAGTAATGGACAGCGTGCTAATTACATCTGTACCACCCGTGCTCCCCATATTTCTCGGTTATATCATTATGTCACGGTCACGCAAGACCGTTAAGGTTAGGGTTGTGATTTGGATCAAGAACAAAGAAAAATATACGAGTGCGAGTAACATAACAAACGATATTAACAGACAACTTTAGATACGAAAATATTTTTTTCTTCGTTCTTGACCACATCCATGTAACCAAGCCTAAGACCGTAACATAACGATATGCCATTTTGTCACAATACACGCTTCCGGAAAGTACGTCACTTTGGCTATAGAGCCTCGTTTTCGTGTATGTGACATCTGTTAAAGTCCGCGTCTCAATCACGAAAACGAGCCTCTATAGCCAAGGTGACGAACTTTCCAGAAGCGTGTATTGATTGATATCGTTTTCTGGTAGAAAACAAACCAACCTTATCTAAGATTAAAACCACTGGACCTCTTTTAACACCAATTGCATTGTCAACACTGAAACGGAAAATCCAAAATTTATGTGAAAACGCTTAGTTGATGCTGCGAGGAAAACAGCGTGAGACCATTATCGAGCTGTTCAAGGGCCACAAAACACTGTGTCACGCGGACTCATTGAAAAATTGTTTTGTTATATGCACAAGATGAAGTTTTCATGAATTATGGAATTCAAGAGTATATTAGATCCACCCTTGTTGGAAGAAATCGTTTATGGCTTCAATACCTCAACATATACATAAAAGATGTTGTTTCTGGAAATAAAATTACAATACCTCTCATTGTCATCGAGGAAGTTTGATAAAGCCTTGGAGAACTACATAATAAAAAATATATATTTTGAAATTTACCCGTAAACTTCCAGTAGCAGTAAAATATCATTGATTCAGATTTATTTGTTGGATTATAAAACGTGTGAACAATAATACACCTTGAAGAATAATTTTAAAATGAGTACAGAATGGCAAAGAGAGTGGGATTTTCAAAATTCAATGTTCATGAAAAGGCAATGGAACATACTTATCCCTGGACCAGGACTGGATTCTAGTCATTGCAATATTGCTTTGCTTATAGTTTTCTTAATTTAAACGCAAATGCTCATCTATATTTAAGTCATGCAACCAAGTAATGATGAGTCAAGAAGAAAAACGAAAACATTCCTAGTCAAGCATGCATGAATACGCCCTCTCGGAAATTACGTCACTTTGGCTATAGAGCCTCGTTCTCGTGTATGTGACATTAGTCCATATAGAAACAATAGATATAGAATGCGTACTCCTATCTTTTCTCGGTAAAAATTTTGTCTCCACAAAATAACTGATTTCAAAGGGCATTTTGACTCGCTCCAGACTCCTGCGACAGGAAAATTCGCGCCGTTGCGGGGAGTGCGAATTGTTGAATTTCTACAAAGACAAAGTTTGGAAAAAGGATTTAATATCGAGACTAAAAATGGATTTCTTAAGAAAAGCAATAGTTCTGAACAGAATATGTACAGAAATCATCGTTTAAACGTCGTTTAAAATCCAATGGGTTTTTTAAGAAAAGCAATAGTTCTGAACAGAATATATACAGAAATCATCGTTTAAACTAGTTTCAAGGTTGTTGTGAAAGCCAAAACAAAACAAAATTTACTTTGAAGAAAAACGAAACCCGATGAATCATTTTGTAATTTCGCGAGATAGCAAAACAGTGATGCTTAGAGCATGCAAAAACGTTTTAAGAGTAAATTATGATTACGCGAAATTACTGTTTCTACAAGGCTGCTCGATTTTTACCGTTCTTGTAAATGTGCACAACTGATGCGCTTTAAACATTTAAATTTTCTTTCGAGCCTTCAAAGAACCTAATATTTTTAAACCTTTACTCAAACTGAAAATTAGGCAGGAAATAAAAAATTTCGGACAATGAAAACTTACGCCCGTATTCTAAAAGCTCACTCACGCTCAATAAGTGGAGGTTCAATCTGAGCTTCTCTTGAGTGTCAATGCTGTTTTTGAATAGCTGGAGGGTGAGTAGTCACATAGTAAGGTACGACACTAACCCTCCAGCTATTCAAAAACAGCACTGACACTCAAGAGAAGCTCAGATTGAACCTCCACTCATTGAGTGTGAGTGAGCTTTTAGAACACGGGCGTTAGTCTTAGCTTTATTTATACTTTGTAAATTTCACTCCTAGTCAAATTCAATATGACGCATTTGAAAAGGCACGCATGAGAAAAAGTGGAGACATGATTCCGTGATCAAGTATGCATTCTATATCTATTATTTCTATGCATTAGTCAAAGCCTCGCGTCTCAATCACGAAAACGAGGCTGTAGAGCCAAGGTGACATACTTTCTGGAAGCGTGTATTCTTATGTTTCGCGCACGAAGATATTCCCTTTTGATCTTGACCTAAATCACAATCTCGTGTCAATAGTCTATCCCTACCTAACCCCACTGTACATGAAACATGAATATATAACCTGAACCTCTTACTTTAATAAGCTGTTTACAGTTTGCTCGCATTCCTGTAAGTTCAGTCAAGGCTTTCATCACCTCATTTGGTTGAAGATGGCAGAAGCTGTCTGTTAAAACCTGAATATAAAAAATATTTAAAATAAGTTTTCTTGCCAGTTCACTTTACAAATAATGCTCGTTTTGACAAGTAAGAAAAATTCAGTTTCGACGGTTTCAACTACCATGTTTTGAGTCTGAACTACCTGAAAACGACTAAAAACTTAGATGTTCTGAGCAAAACTGAGCCCTTCGTTACCAGGTTAGTAGCTTGAAATACCAGCTTAATTTGGTATTGTTTTCTTAACCGTGGTTTTGCTTGTCATAAATGGGGAAATGCATGCTACGGTAGAAGTGGAAAATATTACAGAGGTTATGATACACAGGTTCCAGCTAGTTTACGAGTACGGGTAGTATCATTTTTAGAAACTTCCTCTAGTGTTTGCATGTTTGATCATACGTTTTCTGTTTGTGGCAATAGACTATGGTCTACTGCGAAGGAATATGTACAGTAAGTACGAGTAAATACACATACATCGATACAAATTTCTAAACAAAATGACGTTACCCGTACCCGTGAATCGGGGTATCTTAATCTCTCTATTGGCGTAACTCAATTTCCAAAACTCAATTTCTATACCTCCAGCAACTGTTCATTCTGTATTCGTCTTCCCAATATCTCAACTGCCATTTCTTGAGTCCTCTCTACATAGGAGTGCAATCTAGAACAGTCTGTCTCGTCCAGACGTCGTCCACTGAGAATCCCACGCCATCTTCCAAACCATGTCTCTTCCATTCTCTGGACAAACCTCTGAAATATGAGAAGGAAACATGGCTCAACGATCGTAAGAGAAACAGGGTAGAAGCGATGTCCTCCTACAATTGTAGCAAAAATTATCGTGGACAGCGCGTGCGTAAATATGTATATACACGAGAGAAACCGATCATTTCCTTGCAAACACAACAAAAGGTGCATCCATGATTATGAGTATTCTCCTAGGCAGACAACATATTCTGCTATGCTAAGAACATGGCATGGCTCAACGGAAAACTTTAACCACTCTTGATTAAGCCATTATACACACATTAGACAGACTCACATTAGACTAACGAGAGACTCAGCATATTGTTTGTTTTATCATAACTCTTTTAAAGAGGTTAGGTGAACAGGAAAAATTAACATATAATATTGCGTTCAAAATTAGCAAAAAATATACAACACAATGGTGAATAACTATATAGGTATGACATCACATGGTTGCAGTGCTTTATTAATACTGATCTGGGAATATAACTGGAGTAAATATTGAAGGATTTGGTAGATGCAAGTTTCAAATGCAATTTTTTAATGCATTTATTGAGTCCTAACCAGGAGCAGCCGCGAAAAATGCAACTACAGCATATGCCCTCGGACAGGAATCGAACCTGCGGCCCTGCAATTCCGATGCAGTGCTCTAACCAACTGAGCTACAAAGTTCAGTGGTCGAGCTCTAACTACAAGTTCATGTATAAATACTAAGGTGATGCCATTGTAAGGTATATACCCATATATGGGTAAATATCAGGATTTTAGGAGCCAGACGCCTATAGTTGCATTTTTCGCAGCTCGTAGTTAGGTCTAAATAAATGTATAAAATTTACACTTGAAATTTCCATCTAAAGAATTCTTCAACATCAGTTCAATCGAGTGAAAAACCAAAAAATCCTGGAGTAAATATTGTGTAAAAATGAAACCGGAAGTCAGTCATTACTAATGGAGCAAGCGATAGTAACGCATCATCAAGACAATAAATTGTATTCACATTAATTACCTCGAGTTGGTTGTCAACTTGTTCCCTTCTGCTCCACCATTCACGTTTAGACTTGATTTTAATACTTTCATTCAACTCTCGCATAATTGCGGCGAAATCACTCAAGATGCTTCTACGGAATATTGATGAGAGATCTCGAACCACTGAATCATTAGTCTAAACAAGAAAGTGTTGAGTTTCAGTAAATTGTACCATGATATCATCACTAGTGCGCTTCTGACTGACACAGTACAACCCATGCATGTCTGACCACAGAGTACAGCTATATATTGCTCGTTTGCAATCGACGCCATCTTGGTTGATTTTTCAAAAACACGTGGCAACCATAAAATTTATTTTCTTCATTCTTTGACATATTGAGCCAGAAACCGTAAAAATATCCATAATACAGTAAACTATTCTAAAGACAAACCAGAAATATTAAATAAACTCGACCACTTCACTGCAGATGGCTAAACTAAACTTGAAGATCAACCAAGATGGCGCTCAATGATACGTAGTGACGTCATGTGCAAGCCAAGGTAAAAGGGTTTGTTTTTATAGTGTGGAAATACCAGTTTGTGACAACGAAGACGAAAACGACGTTTGTATAAAATGAATATTGATCCAGGATAGGCAGAAGCATTCAGTAGTTTGCGTGTACATGCAGCAAAATCAATATTACTCCTCCCAGCCTAATTATGAAAAACACAGGGGGAACTTACCCCCAGCCCAAAATATCCCAAAAACGTGTCGCGAGTCTTGCTTATACTACAGTTATGCCCAGTAAAGAAGCTGCATAAATGCAACATCTGATGTGAGAAAGTTGCGTGGTTAGAATACTGTAACGGTTACCACTGAGTAATTGAAAAAAATACAAAACAATGGACACTCCGAAAACAGCTAACATTTTTAATTCGACGTTTCGACTATATTGCAGTCATCATCAGGAATGACGGAAAAATATACATGTTATATATACAAGATCAAATGACAAATGATATGCTAAGTTAACTAAAGATTACGAGTTCTTTTGAAGCTTTGCATCCGTGGTTAAGTTCCGGTTTCTGGCGGTGAATATAGCTCGAGAGGCTCTTTGAAAAGTAATAAGGACCAGTGTCTAGATTTATCTAATATTCCACACTTGTTAAGAATCTTTTTCGAAACGTCGAATTAACTGTTTTCGGAGTGTCCATTGTTTTGTATTTTTTAGAATACTGTAGGTGAATGCCATTGTGTAAGAGTTTGTAGTTTTGACATTGAGATGACAATCTTAATTAAAACAACTAAAATATACAACGAATGTGCATGTGCAATGCGTTAAAAACGTTATACAAAAACTGGCTGATGCGCATAAGTCAAAGCATAAAATATGATGCAACATATAGTAACGGTTGCTCCTTTCAACAACGTGCTTTTACTGAAAAAAATCCCCCAGTAAAATAATGCACCCACAGTGATTCAAAATTCTGAGTAAAATTATTCAAATTTATGACAAATTTACTCAATTTTGGAGTAAAGATTTACTTTACTCAAACAATTTATAGTAAATTTGATCATAAGTTTAAGTAATTGTACATTTGTACTCAATATTTTGAGTTGTAGAGAGTGCATTATGTTACTCATTACAAGTTTTTTGCAGTGTACATAAATGATAAAAATCTGTTATGGTGATACCTGAAATTCTTGCTCCATACAGTCAGCCTCTTCTTCCTCATTTGGTAAAGTTATTATTAAAAATAGCGATTCATTATTTTTCCTGAGCCTCGTTATCACAAGATGTTTCATGTTTTCCCTGTCAGGTGCTTGCACGATGGACAAAGTACACACAGTTAAATCTAGAAACATCAAGTAGTATTTCACTTAGTATGGACTGTCTGATGATGGTTTTGAAATAAAACCGAAATATTATAGTTAATGGGATTTAGAAGTACAACTAGCATACAATATAGGTACAAATAGTATATAACTACAAATAGTATAGTAGTAATATTATAAGACGTCGTTCATTGGAATATGTTTTGTTGATCCTAAACTGTCACTGTCTTTTACTTACCTTCTGGTAGTAACTCAATGGTGTTTTTAAACGATTCCGAAATATCGCCAGCAGATGTCCTAAAACCAACTGTGTTCTTAATGGTCTGTAAATGCAACATTTGATTCACTCCCTTTCTCTCGTCTTTATCCAACCTTGTTGAATCCAGTAACTTCAGAAGTTCATCCTCGTCCTATAAAGACATCCTTAGGTTTATTAAAACTCGTTATATTAGTCTAAACCTGGGTAGACTGAATTACAATAAATTTTACAAGCAAAATCCTAAAGTATGTATAAAATTATTACGACTATCAATATTAGAAAATGGCTCATGTTATAAAAGCGCTCGACAAAAATCTCAAAAGGAGTAGAGAACATTGAATGAAGAAATCATTTTCCACCAGCAAGTTCCACATGGAGACACATGTGAACAGATCAACGAAAGTGAGAGAAATCAAGAAAGGAAACAACAAAAAGTCGCTCTTAAAATAAACGTTTTCGTTATATATTTATTATTTGTTCTTATTCATTTCGAGTTTAGGCGTGCGTGTTTGCACGAAACTTACATCCTTTCCGTCTTTTATTTGTTTATCTTTTCCCTTTCTAAAAAATAACAAGTCAAGTAGAAATTGTAACAATATAGTAGCAAAGCATCATCATCTACAAAACGATATTCTTCCAATTTTCATCTCAGTTCGAGTGCAGACTGGGTCCCAGGTCCTGAGGTCTTTTTTATGTCTGCCTCCTTCACGAGAAGATCACACACATCTCCTGCAGGGCCTTTGAAATCTTGTAAAAAATTAGACATTACTTTTTCAAATAGATATGCAGTAATAAATTTTAACAATTCACTACCGATTGTTTCAGCCAATCACAAATATATAGCCTTCGGTAAAATCGTATCTTATTAGTCAGTTGCATTTGTCCTTAGCAACCACTGTAAAATTGAGATTTTTAAACCTTCAGGGTAAATTTTTACACTGTAGTTTTCAGGGGTGGAAAACGTATCGGACCACGGGACGATTGCTACCACAAAATTTGTTGAGTTCCCAGAAAATATTTTCCCAAGAAAGAAAAAAATTGTAGAGGGGAGGGGGGGGGAGTGTCGGAGGAAAAATCAATTGTAAGTGCATCCATCTTAATAGTGCGATAGTGTATAAATGTATTAGACTATAGAATGATGAACGAATGACGTATGGCAAATGCATTTTAGCCAGCCAATCTGGGGACACCTGATTTTCAGAATTTTCTGGGAGAGTATGGATTCCCCTGATAGTGACCTTTTTTGGCATCTGTATTTACCTTTAATAGGATCAGACCCTTGATGCATGTTTTCTAAATTAGTTTAGGATTCTCAAGATTCTCATATTTTTGAAATATTTAACGTTGGGTATGAAATTTTGAGGCGGCCTCCCTGACAAACATGCCATTGCAAAGATGGCGAACAAATCATTGTTTTCAGTCAAAATATTTCAACGATTAAGCAAGACATGAAACTGAAATATGTAAAGGAGCTTTATATATTATCTTAAGAGTTCTTCAAGTAGGGAAAACTAAATTTTTATTGCCATATCCCTTCAACTAATTTGGAGGCGTGATGTAGGCCTACGACAAATGATTACCTGATCTTTTTAGAGGAACGATTCAGGGTTTGGTGGCGTAATGTAGTCGCCATTACCATGTTCTGGTAGACAGCTGCTTTCTCAGGACTTTTCAAACCATAACATAACACAAGAGCATGACAGATCTGAGTTAACAATACTGGATTATAACAAGGATGAAGATATGTCAGTGATGTAGTAAACGAATCCAAGGCGTTTGTCATTTCTTTATCTAAATAAACAATGTAAAAAGTTGTGTAACTTTGTGTTTTGGGTTAGGAGAAAAGTCGTATTTTGTTATGAACTGTTTACAACATGCATGACCGGCTGTGTTGTATCTGATTGTAACTGGCTTGTGAAACGTCTTGCATGGTGAGAACATTCGTATTCTTCAACGATTCAAAATAAATGAATGATATTTGGTGAGAAAAATTGAACTTTAAGTTGATGTGAATCAGCATGATTCTGACATTCGATGGCAAAAAACAATTACATTAAAGAAACTTCATTTTGCTTTTGGAGTCGGCTTGGGAGTAACGTACTGAGAGAGTATACACACCGTAAGGATGCCTTATATTTTTCATCGGTTTATCGATTTTAAGACTAATTTACTGATTAACTTTCAGACACTCAATTTATGGACAATTTGTTTAGTGTTATTTCCTCTTTTTTTCTCTTTATAGTGTTAAAGGAGGTAACATTTTACCGAGGGGCAATTCACTCCAAAAATCCCGTACACTTCGTCAAAAAATCCGGAAAAAATCCAGAAAAAATCCATGAAATCCTCAAAATCCGTTGAATCCATCAAAATCCGAAAAATCCTTTAAAAACCACAGAAATCCTTCAAAAATCCACAGAAATCCTTCAAAATCCTCAAAAAAATCCGCAAATCCACAAAAAATATATGAAGTACTTGGTGTAATTTACTCGTAAAGGTTCTTTGCCACGTTCAAAATGGCGGACAGCGAAAGCTAAACGCTTACCGTGATCTCTGTCATTATATTTCGTAATTATTGGACCACTCTACATTTCCATTTATACGCTCGAGTATATGCTAAGTTTTTTTAGCCTACTACTACTAAATATGTGTTCTTGTTACAATGACGTTATGTTGTAAAATATAATTACAAAACCAAAAGTTATTCACCATTGTCTTTTACTGTTTTTGAAAGAATAATGAACTTGTTTGAATTTTAAACAAAATGACTGCATGCCCAGCCTTCGTTAGTTTCTGAAGGCTGTGGTCCTAGTCCCAGTCCTCTGCTCGACCCTGACGTCCTGGCATAACGTTGACGTCGTACACTCGTACAACTTAAGATTATTTGTTCAAAACGTTATCTAGCTCTATAAATCTATAATTAAAAAAAATCCAGAAAAATTCCGAACAAATCCGGAAAATCCAACAGATTTTCAAAAATCCAGAAAAAATCCGAACAAATCCGGAAAATCCAGCAAATTTTCTCTTCAAAAATCCGCTAAAAAATCCGGGAAAATCCGCTAAAAAATCCGCGGATTTTTAAAAATCCGAAAATCCCGTACGCTTTTTTCGAGTGAAATGCCCCTCGCATTTTACTGTTTAATGTTAAAGAAAACTTTAGATTTTACTGTTTGATTTTGAAATACCTTACTGTCCATATTGACAGACAAAACGAAGTGTGTATATACAGACAAAAGGCCACAAAACGAAGTGTGTACTCATAACATCGTGGCAAAAACGGCTTCATTTAACACAAAATGAAGATTTGTGTGTAATCCTTAATGATATACCATTGGAAAACATTATTTCAAAACCGTTATTTGGCGTTACTATAAATCATGATTTGTCATGGGAGGATCATATAAACACCATTGTTACAAAGATAAATAGGAGTATAGCTTTACTTCGTAGAATTAAATGATATTTATCACTACAGACACGGAAACTACATTCTTTAATGCGCACATTCTTCCACACATGGATTATTGTTCTATTGTTTGGGGTGGTTCACCTCGTGTTAAGAAGATCATTTTAACCCAAAATTGAGTAATTTTAACCCAAAAGGGAGCAGCCCGGGTAATTTTAGATATCACAGACAATCGTTATCCAAGTAAGGATACGTTTTTTGCAATTGGATGCTCACAGCCTCATCGTGGATTGTATTGAGTCTCGTAAAGCTATTATGGTCTCTTAATCATTTGTGTCCAGAATATATGAAAAATATGTTTACGTCCATACAAGGACAACCAGATCAAGTTCTGCAAACGATTTGCCTCCCTTACTTACGAAAACATAAACAAATATATATATATATATATATATATATATATATATATATATATATATATATATATATATATATATATATATATATATATATATATATATAAATATATATATATATAAATATATATATATATAAATATATGTATATATATATATAAATCTAT